CATCCTCCTAAGATTTCAGCGTTCTAGCTTCTCAGATCCCCGAGTTATGAACTTACCCCAAAAAAATTCTGGCGGGCCCGTACGCGGGTACCACGCGGGTGTTGGAGCCCATTTTAGGGATTAGGGCCGGTACGTGCATGTTGATTAAGTTCCCGAAGTTTCAGCCCCGCAGCTTTTATAGGTCTTGAGATGAAAGTGCGTGAAAGGCGGACACAGACACACGGACACACAGACAACCCCTCGTCAATATGCGTTTTCTGCATTGCATAGCCGCAAAAAACGCATAAAAAAACGAACTGTCGCCAGCTACAACAGTGGCTAAAGAAACAAAAACGCAGAAGTGCAGGGGTTCGGTGTCAGAGTAAGCTCATTATTTTCTGGAACACATTGACCGAAGGCGGTTACTTAATCATAAAGAAGCGCAGCTTACCTGTAAAGTTCGCCAAGCAGCCAGCTGCTTCGAAATGAGGGTTTAACACTACTCTGCATGTAGTCCGGAGCAATATCGCTTTGTTCGAACGATGTTAACGGTTCGGCAGGCTCACCAGTCTTCGGAAAATCAACAGCAACAGCACATTTTCGAGCAATGTTCTCACAAGTTTCACTGAAATTTCATTTTGATGACAGAAAGCATCGCAAATTCATGCATACAGCGTCTACAACACAAATGATGACAAGAAGCAGCAAGTGATAGAAGTAGCAATGATTTATCATGTAAAACAAAACTACAGCCATCACGACAACTAGATTCCACAAATACCAATACCTCTGAATAACTGATGTGGAAGATGTTCTCACACACATAGGCACAGCTATACCAGGTCTTTCGATCCAGAACTGTACACTTCTAGTTAGCAACAACTATTTGCCGATGTATCTGTTAATTAACCAGACCTGCCCGATTAAATGGATGAATTGAATAAAACTAAAGTTGTCTTTTCCCAATTTCAATAAATAGCAGCGCGCACCAGACTGGCAGTGCGATCATGCGTTTTGTACAATTCAGCCCACCGAACCATTGCTATTAGTGATTTTCACTGCTTTTTACTTTAGTCTATGCAGAAATAGTTCAAACATTAGAAAACGGTTAAAAATTTCACGCACCAGCGCATGAAAGCTGAATTCGAAATCTTAAAAGATGAATATCTTTCCGTGATTCCCGAGTTAATAGTTTACCCACCAAAATTTTCATGAGGCCGTAGGTGATACTCAAGAGCGATGGAACGCCGAATTTGAATAGGCAAGATTGAGCGTGGGCAGGAGGTTATTAACCTAAAATTTCAGCTTCCTAGACTCCGTGGTTCCTGAGATATTAATTTACCCGTAAAAAACTTTCGCGGGGCCGTATGTGTTACCCGGCGGTACGGGAAGGTTGAATTTAAATTTGCGAGGTCACACGTGGGTAGGGAACGTTCCCCTAAATTTTCAGTTCCCTAGGTTTTGTGGTTCCCGAGC